TCAAACTTCAATCCTAGCAAGCAACAGACAAGTAACAGACGTGCTAAACCCTAAGACCCCAACGACTCAAACCGTAAAGCAAACACCTTTAGCTTAACCCTATAGTCCCTTCGGCCTCAAACTCTAGGGACCCTTAAGAGTCTTTGTAGGGTATATCGTGTATAGGTATTTAGGGATCCCAGGGTTAAGGGCCCATACTAGGGGCCCATGGTTTCAACCGTTGAAACCCTTAAATCGATGTTTGGCAAGCTTGCGGTTCAGGGTTTGGGGCTTAGACAAAGGCCCTTAAAGAATAGACACAGCCACAAGGGCCAAAATTCATGAACCGTTTTCCCAATGCTCTCATACACTGAAGCCCAATTGGCACGGTCAGCAAAAAGTGCAACACACACACGCACACACACACATCTACCAACAACGGACAGAAGCAGCAAAATAAGATGCTGGACTCGGATTCGGAATCATCAATATAGCGTCAAAAGCTAATCTTACATTACTCTTCCTACTTGCAATATCAACGACAATACTATCAACACCAAGAAGTACCGAGGCCAAACGAAACTGAAACTCTTCGCCACTTTGGAGGTTCATGGGTAGTTACAAGTAATTAGGGTTGCACGTATGATAACTCCTAGGCAACTATATCCGGGGACTTATATATCTACTTCCAACAACCCATGAGCCTCCAAGCACCTCAGGTTGCCATGCTGGTCTTCGGCGTCTTCTACGAGTGCTTCTGCATCTCCAAGGAAGCAAAGGCACGCGAAATCCAGGGCGTCGAGGAGGCTCGGCTGAGTTTTTGAGTTGGTTTAGGGTTTAGGGGTTTAGGGTTTAGGGCTCGGAGCGTTTACGGTTTAGGCTTTTGGCATGGGGGGGGTGCTTTAGGCTGTTTTTGGGGTTTTGTTAATCTAGTTTTGGTTGGGTGTTGTAATGTAGGAGCCTGATTAAGAAACCTTGGGCCTATGACCCCAAAACAGGAGCATTTATATAAGGAACCCTAATAAAGGCCCAAGGTTTCTAAATCAGGTTCCTACATTAGTGGGATTTTCGGGTTGCAGCACTTTGCGGCATAATCTAGGGGTATACGACAATCAGGGCCCATGGGTGCTACTATTCTGGAGTTAGATCCCTTATTTCCATGATTACAACTCCATAGTAGTATACATGGAACCTCTGGGGGATTAGTGAATCTACTCCCCAGAGGGCTTCTTGCTTTTTTGTGGTATAATGAACCCCGAAGACCTGTTCTAACTATCAAGGATGATTTATGCCCCCATGTTGGGTTTTGAAGTTGGCTGGGGTTTCGTTTTGTGGGAGCGTTCAGGGTTCGGGGTTGCGGTTCAGGGCTTTGGGTTTAGGGCTTTAGGGGTTTATAGGGTTCAGGGTTTAGTGTTTAGGGTTCGGGGGTTTTAGGTAATTTGAGGACGATGAGTTTGGGAAGTACTGTTGGGCGATGTAAGATTTAGGGATCCGCTGTTGAAACTCTGTGCGCCGTTAAAAAGTATCCCATCTTTGGACTTTAGGGCTTTGGAGGCATTGGATTTGTGTTTGACTGGCTTCATGGCAACATACGCTTCACCACCATTCCATCAAGGGTTTCGTGTGCATTCTCAGCTGAGGAGCGACACATTCAGGATTTACTAGCGGTTCAGGGGTTGTCTCGTGCGTTGGTACGGAGTGTTTGGTGCATGCACGGCTGTACCACTTATATAGTCGAGCATGCTGCTGCAAGTTCAACCCTAATTAAACCCTGAACCCTAGTTTATGTTAGGGTTCCCTACTGTTTGAAGTGTATTTTTGTGTAAGGGCGGTTAGGGCTCAGAGTTCACGTTCGAAGGCCTAGTAGGGTTTGGGTTCTATAGGGTTGTGGGTTTAGGGTGTAGGGTAGTCTGGGCTTTGAACCCTAAACCCTACACCCTAAATCCTAAACCCTAAATCCTAAACCCTAAACCCTGGGAGCTTGGGTTTGTTTCTTTTTCGGGAGCCGGGAGCAGCAGTAGATGACGGGGCGGAAGGGGGGGCGGGCGGGGGACCGCGGCGAAGTTCGCAGCTTGAGTGATTTTCTAGGCGGCAGTTTGGGAAACTTTTATATTTTCCTTATGGTTCCTATAGAGGTACCTATTCATAATTACTTTTCAGAGCCCCAAGACTACAACCCAGTTATGGTTTTGCCAACATAGGGTTTAGGACTTAGGGTTTAGTGTTTAGGGCTTTGGGTTTAGGGTTTAGTGTTTAGGGCTTAGTGTTTAGGACTTAGGGTTTAGGGCTTAGGGCTTAGGGTTTAGGGCTTAGGGTTTAGGGTTCAGGGGTAGGAGACAGGTCGTGAGTCGAATTGAAAGTGGCTGCCGAAGCGCAAAAGCCAACTACAGGCCAACACAACGAAACGCGAAACTCGTTAGAACACCGGAACCCTGAATGCGAAACCCTATAATATGGGCGGGGGGGCCTTTGCAATTACCTATACCATTTTGGGGCGTTCCTGATTACTGTAACGGGCCCCAAAACCCTGTTCGAATTATTAAGTCCCCTATAGTAGCCGGTCTTGTGGGTGAGCGTTGGGAATTGGCTTTTGTTGGCCATTTGTTTGGCCGGTGAGGCCGGGGCCTTCTTCGAACTTGGATGGTCGTTTTACGGATTTCAAGAAGGGATCGCTAGAGTGGCTTGTGTCTTAGATCCTCTAGTGCATTAATTATTATAGCATTTATCACCCCCTCTACTTCTTCGCTGTCTATCACCAAGTCAAGTTTTTGCCTGTAGGGGAGGAAGTTAAGAATGTTGCTTAAACTCCCATTTATCTGGCTCTTCTCTGCCTTCCGTAGCCAAGGAGAACGGAGACGGCCCGATCTCCGCGCCAACTCCGTACATCATGATCAACTGATGGCATGGCCGAAGAACGAGGAAGCTGACTCCCACCCTCTCAGCATGACCTAGAAGCCAGGTTATGTACATAGTTCAACTTAGAGTAAAAGCCAGAAAGTTGGAATATGATTATCCTAACCCTTCTATGGCAAATTATAGGGTATCCTGCCATGAAACCATATTCCAACTTTCTGGAGTTCCCTGTAAAACCTTATCCCCAAAATCTAAACCGTGGAGAGGCTTTTGATGAAGGGCTCTCCTTAAAGAAATATCAGGCAGAGCAGCGTCGTGACTGTCGTGTATGATGACCCCCTAAGGACTACTCAAAGGACCGGCTGTGTTCTGAACCCCATCCTGTAATCAGGAATAAAGATCATACGGCAATCAGCGTCCCCATGATAGACTATATGCCGCCGTTCAAGACAAGTAAGGGCATCCAATCTGAATCTGAATCTGCTGAAGCAACAAACCTGTAGCCGGACCGATTCAAACAAAAACTTTACGAACCCTACCTTAAGCTACTAAAACCTACTTTTTGTAGGGTCCCTATAAAACCTTTTTAGGATTTGGAATAAGAACCTACCAAAAAGTAGGTTATGTTAGTTTAAGGTAAACCCAAGGTTAGAGTGTTTAGGGTTGGGAAGCTGGTTTGGGGGTGGTGCAGGGCATTGGGTTCGACACAAACAACCCTTCAGCAAGCAGTTGCTCCACCGCTAGATAGGGTTAGGGCATGGGGAGGGATCAGCAGACTTTTCACACACCACCACGCCGGGGAAAGCCTACCGGCCTGGATTTTGGGGTGTAGGGCTTCCGACGGACATGCAGGGGATTTCGGACTCTAGTTCAGGCGTAGTTGGATCCAGTTTTTTTGTTATTTTTTCGCAGATGCAGGGCAGTATGAACGGAAGCTCTCTTGTTTAGCTTGACAAACGCTACTCGTCTTGCGCGCATGATGGCGGGACCTATCCTATGTTGTCTACATCTAGCCGTGTAGCCGTCCCCGTGACAGGTTTCATCACAAACTTTGCCTGCCGCAGTACAGGAGAGAGCAAGCCATCATCGCCAAGCACAGGTACCAGTCAGTGTGGACGCTGCGACACGCAAAAAGAGAAACTGACCGGTTCTCCTGATTCAAAAATTAAAAGTTTCTTGTGCTTCGTGTAGATGTCGGTTGAGGTCGTTCACATCAGAAATCCATAGATCTCAGAGCTACACTCCCTTACCCAACATCCTGAATACTTAAACTCGCATTCAAGCTGTTTACATCAGAAATAATCAGAGATCGACAGCTCCCGGAGCCACACTCCCATATATCATATCCGACATCCTGAGGACTAGATCTCGCATTCAAAGCTTCAGTTGCACACTTGTTCGTTTCACATGCACTTGCACCAGGGTTGTGAGTTCAGGAAGGCAGCTTACGTGCACTTGTTCTGGGGCTGCGGGTTCAGGACCGCTGCTCCCAACTTTGTGTTGAGGGCTCTGTCGTCATGCTGCGAGTTAGTGCATAGCAGGAACATCCTGAGTGTTCACGATTCGTGCATAGGGGCCCCGAAATGAATGACATCGTGCTTCGTATATAGGGACCTGAAACGGAAAATCTGATGGCGTCAAGGTTCTATTGACCCTAAACTCTAAGTTCTACTTAGACTAGATCGACAGCAGAACGCATTCGGAAGACAGACAGACAGGTTTATAGGGTTAGGTTGACAGACAGACAGACAGACAGCGACAAACACGCGCCAACAGAGTGTTTCAGGGCCTATATGGTGTAGAAGACCTCGATAGCTGCTGTTACAAACTTACAAACGCCTTGGTGATCCTTCACAGTTCGCGGCTTTAGCCTTTGGGGTTCCCGATTCCCTAGATAATCCCAAAAGTTCACCCTTAGTGCCCCTAGGAATTAGATAGCCTTCGGAATATCTGACAGATCTATGACTCTAAGCTAGAAGCAAGAGGCCCTACAGCCGGAAGCCCTTAAGCAACTTGAAACCATAACACCCTGCTTCGGGTTAGGGTTCCCTACTATGATTTCCCTGTAACAGTCCTTGAACAAGGTAGGATATTGGCGTCCAGGTAATTATATATGGCTTTCGGGAAAATTGGTACTTGGGCCCTTAGGGTAGCCTTGGACCTTGAAGGCCTCCAGGAGGAAGCATCGGGTCTGGAAGCGGAGTTCCTGGCTCAGTTTGGCAGTAGTTTAGGGGTCAAGGTTCAGGGTTTAGGGTTCAGGGTTTGGGATGTAACAGTTCAGGGTTAAGGGCTTAGGGTTTGGGGTTTTGGATTTGGGATGCAACAGTTTAGGGGTCCAGGTTCAGGGTTTAGGGCTCAGGGTTTGGATGTAACAGGTTAGTATTCAATGTTCAGGGTTTAGGGTTCAGGGTTCAGGGTTTTTGATGCTGTAGATGGATGTAGGGTGTAGTCCTAGGTTTGAACGGGGTTGCCTGAAAGCCGTACCTGCCTAGGGATTTTCAACAGGGGTTGCATCTGTACCGTGAGACAGAGCCAGGCTTTGGTTTTGTAGTGTTGTGGACTTGGCTTTGGGCCCTAAACCCTAAACCCTAAACCCCTAGACTCAGACCCTAAAGCTTAACCCCTAGACTCAGACCCTAAACCATAAACCCCTAGACTCAGACCCTAAAGCCTAAACCCTCAACCCTAAACCCCTAGACTTAGACCCTAAAGCCTAAACCTAAACCCGAAACCCCTAGACTCAGACCCTAAACTGAAACCGTTTGGAGTTTAGGTTTGAGGCTTTGGGTGAAGGGCAGCCGAAACCGAAGACTCTTCACCAGTCTCGTGCCTAAGCCTTAGACTTGCGTGACTTTACTGGCCTGCTTAGGGGGCATTATGAATTACTGTAGAGTATTCCTACTAGTACGTAGAGTCCCTTCGAAAGGATTTTGGGCGCCGCGGATACCTTATCAGCCAATATACTCTGAGAAACCTGTTGGACCCCATAATGTAGAACTGTTTTGTGGGGACTACCGGGAGATTTGCCCTCAAGTCACGAGTCGCGCAATGTTTGGTGTTTCTCCTACGACCCGGTGCTTGCATAGGCTAAGATTAGCCCGGATGCTTGTCTTTGACCTAAACTCTTTGCCTCCAACCTGCGGCCAAGAGCCCTGAAGTAAGAGTCCCCTCGGTTTGAGAACTGCAGGATCTCTACAGTAAAACCCATAAAGTTGGAAAGTGGATTAAGTCCAAATAGAGCTGGGATTCCCTATACATTACTCTTAAGGATGGAGGCTCTGGGGTTTCCAACTTTTGGGCTTCTACTGTAAGTTGAGAGACACAAGCTGTGTTTTGGATTGAGGCTCACCTCGTCATTATGCGAGCAATGCATCTCCCCAAGCGCTAATCCTTAAGCCCCTAAACCCCTCAAGCCCTAAACCCGAAACCTCTAAACCCGAAGCCCAATGAGAAAGTGATCGCAAGATCTGGCCTTTAATGTGGAGTATGGGGTTTTCGGGTATAGTTTTAGGGTTCCTGGTTATGACTTCCGTATAAATCCTTAAGCAGGTAGGTTATTTGGGGTTCAGGTAAGCCCTACACGTCAGGCCTTTGGTTCTCGGCTTCTGTCGGATTCGGGGGCTTTCTTGAACCCTAGGCCAAAAATCGCGCGACCTTCCCAGCTCTGAAATATTCGGTTTTAGGGTGTATAGGTTTAAGGTGTAGGGCTTAAGTTTAGGGTTTGAGGTTGGGCTTAGGGTGTTTATAAGGTTGGGTTTAGGGTTTAGGGTTTATAAGGTTGGGTTTAGGGTGTAGGGTTTATAAGCTTGGAGTTAGGGTTTAGGGTTTATAAGGTTGGGGGTAGGATTAAGGGTTTATAAGGTTGGGTTTCGGGTTAAGGGTTTAGCCTTTCAAATCCTAAGGCTCCATGCACCCATATAATTAATTACTATATATACCTAGGCCTTAAAGTACCTATATAGAGACCCCTTTAAGGCTTAAGTATCTACTATAAAGGTACATGGAGCCTTTAGGGAACCCTAAACCTCAAGGTTCAACCTCGCGGCTGATGGCCCGCCACCGACCTCGGAGGAGCTCCCCCAAGCATTTTCATCCCACCTGACCCTCACGAGTCCCTTTCTTAGAGGTTCATGGGTAGTTTTAAGGGTCCCTCTAAAGGGATCTATAGGGATTCTATAAGGGTTAGTTAAAGTGGGGTTATAAGTTCCCTAATATTGGTTGTAAGTACAGATATCCTACCTATAATAACCCTACTTATAACTACCCATGAACCTCCAAGTAGAATTGAATCCCAAGAGTTTCCAAGCCCTAAACCCTAAACCCCAATATCCAACCACGAAGCCCTAAACCTCACTTCTGCCGATCCACCATGAGGATGGTCGTCTCGGGCCAATATAGCAGCTGAGTAGTTGCTCATACTGTTCCGAATGCTCCTTCCTGCTAACCACATAATCTGAGAACTCCCAAACTGTCGTCAGACTATTAGGGCACTCGAGGCAAAAACAACCTGAGGACATGCGGTGCTGCGTCCAGTAGGAAGCACAACGACTCACCTGGCTCTAGAACCAAGCAACTCGGCAAAGGGTGCGGGTGTCATGAAGTCACGCGGCCCCTATTTTTTTAGGTGTGATGGTATTTCTTGGTCTTGTCCTAAACCGTGAACCCCAAAGTGCATCTTGTTTCCACCCGGAAGCTCCCTCTGAGCCCGGCACCGCGTGTTCTAATGCTCACTACTCATACCTGTAGCTCTAGGGTTTAAGGCTTATAACCTGTGGATCCAGTGCCATACGAACTTAAGGTCTATACCTCACCTCACAACTGACTCACATTGTCAATGTATGGGATCGGGATCATAGCCTGCATAGTTACTATCCTGAACGGTTTGGGTGCTGTGATACCGTCGCAGCCTAAATACACCCATGGCACCCGGTGCATCCGTGGCAGCCAGTGCAGCCAGCCCTGCAGCCTTGCAGACCCAAGCCTTGCAGACCCAGGCTGAGCAGCATTCTCCTGCATTCATGCACAACTGGGACAATTTGCAGATGTGCCTGGGGAAGAAGAGGACCTGCGTTCTTCCCGTTCATCCGCCATTGCTGTCGTGGGAGTGGATTTTCAAGGCGATGCCGGGCCACACCTATACGGTGCAGATGGCGGACTCGATCATTGCCATGGCCAAGCAATGTGCCATGAACCATTTTAGTTCAGCTCAGAAAGTAAGATTGTCAAGCTAAACACAGGTTTGGGTTGGGTATAGTATTATACTATAAGAAAATAGGAACACCGGAACACCCAAAACCTTGTTCGAATTATTCTGCCCCCTACATTAGCCCTAAGGGTCATTGTCATATACTCTCCGAAATAGTAACCTACATAACTACTATCCTAAACCCAAATACCTGATTATTGGATCCTTTAGACCCTTGGGGTAGTTGATGATGACGCTCATCATGACGGATCTCTAGGAGCCTCACGGCTGTGGGACCCGTAATTATCTTGCCCAAAGGGTGCATGTAGAGGTTTAGGGTTTGGGGTTCAGGGCGTAGGGCTTTATACTTTGGCTTAAAGTACTTTTGATAGGGTATTTTAAAGCCAGAGAATATATCATTTGAGCCTGCGCCCTAAACCCCAAAACTTCAAGAATCCAAGCCCCATGAGGCCCGTCGTAAAAGCCTGCATCGCGATAGCACATATTTCATGCTTCAGTGGTCTCCTATGGGATGTAAGTACTTCTTAATGACTCAGTAGGTAACCTCTTACCTTTTGAGGTTTATACAGTCCTACCATAATTAATTGATGAGGTTAACCTGTGTTGGGCTAGGATACTCGAGGACTTTCGGGAACACTGACTCTAGACGAGGCACTTGGACCCTTAGGGAAATCCTGTGTTCTCGGCAGGCAAAGGCAGAAGACGAGCGCGACAGTGAGGCACGAATAATTTCTGGACGATTACAATATAGAGCCCCAAACCTCAGGGTCCCAAGCACATAGGTTTCTATAGTAGAAGCTAGGGTTGTGGTGTGGGTGAGTATTCTGTATGCAGGTACTTAGGACCCTTTGGGAAAGATTCACGTAGCGTGGCCTCAGAGGCGTGCCTCTCTAGGTGCGCCATGGCCAAAGTATCTGCTGTATTCGTACATGGTCCGAGGTGGACAACCGGGATGCACACATGCAGCTGGTGCAGCGGTGTGAGACTTCTGGTCGCCAACTTGTTCGCGCTGGCACGATGTCCAGTTTCGAAATCATGCCACTCAGAGAACATCCCTTTCGAAGAGCCGGCTTCAAACTGGAAGCTCGAAAATGGTGCCCTGGGCTGACGCGATCTCTCCTCTTCCTGCATAGAAAGCTTTCTCTCGACTTGATGGACCCTTAGGCGAGGAGGCATGGCCCCCCATGCCCCGGCTCCCCCGATCTACTCTAAACTCTGCTTGCCAAACTCAAAAGCCAAACCCTCAAGCCCTAAACACATAACCCAAGCCGCGAAACCCGACATCGCTGACCTTTCGAAGATAGTGGTCGTAACATCGCGGACTTTTCGAATATAGTGATCGCAGTAAGAATGCAGTAAGCATTCATCATATCCCCGTCAATGGTATTCCATGATAATATTACTATAGTGGCTGTAGTGAAGCCCAACACCCTGCGAATTCCGACAGCGATCTCAAGCCCAAATGAACCCTGCAAAAAGAGCTTTTTCAACTTGAAAAGTTTAAATAATTATAGCGGCTTCAAGCAACCCGATACAACTTGTTACAAGCACCCATCTCTCCCTCCCTAAGCCTTAACCCCCAAACCCTGCTCCTTCGGGCAGCTTCCGGGAGACCAGCAGGCAGCTTGACAAGGGCCCTTAAAACAAAGCCCTTCCCTAAACCCTGACCCCCAAACCCGAAACCCGAGATCCTTAACCCTAAATTTCAGGCTCAAAACGGCCCAAAGCCTTATATAGTATGGTCTTTGGGCCCCGAAGCCTTAATAATGAGTCCTTAGAGCCTTAGGGAAGCCCTCCCTCCCTCAACCCCCAAACTAAACCCTAAACCCCTCAACCCCGTCAACCCTCAAAACAAGACCCCAAACCCCTAAACCCGAAACCCCGCAACCCCTCAACCCCCCAAACCCTCAAAACAACTCCCCGGATCCGAAGCGAAGGCCCTCCTGGCGTCCTGGCCCAAGCGTGGGCGACAGCGCTGGCGAAGCGCAAGCTGCGACCCGAGGCGCCTCGGGGGCTCAGGAGCTCGGTTTAGGGGTTTAGGGTGTTTAGGGGTTTAGGGGTTTAGGGGTTTGGGGGTTTAGAGGTTTAGGGGTTTAGGGTGTTTAGGGTTTAGGGGTTTGGGGGTTTAGGGGTTTAGGTATAGGGGTTTAGGGTGTTTAGGGGTTAGGGTTTAGGGGTTTAGGGGTTTAGGGTATAGGGTTTAGGGTTTAGGGGTTTGGGGTGTTTAGGGTTTAGGGGTTTGGGGTGTTTAGGGTTTAGGGGTTTGCGGGTTTAGGGTTCAGGGGTTTAGGGCTTAGGGGTTTAGGGTGTTTAGGGGTTAGGGTTTAGGGGTTTAGGGCAAAGGGTTTAGGGTTTAGGGGTTTCCGGGTTCAGGAGTTTAGGGGTTTAGGGGTTTAGGGGTTAGGGGTTTAAGGGTTTAGGGGTTTAGGGTGTTTAGGGTTTAGGGGTTTAGGGGTTAGGTTTCAGGGGTTTAGGGTTTAGGGGTTAGGGTTTAGGGGTTTAGGGGTTTAGGGGTTTAGGGGTTTAGGGTGTTTAGGGTTTAGGGGTTTATGGTGTTTAGGGGTTGGGGTTTTGGGGTTTAGGGTGTAGGGGTTTGGGGGTTTAGGGGTTTAGGGTTTTTTAATGGTGTAGGGTTTAGGGGTTTGGGGGTTGAGGGTTCAGGGGTTTAGGGCTTAGGGGTTTAGGGGTTTAGGGTTGAGGGTTTAGGGTTGGGGGGGGCTCTAATTTCAAGGGTCCAAAGGACCCAATACCTAGGGACTTGGGTTTAGGATAATAAGTAATGCAGCTCAAGATTTAGGAGAGTATCTGATTATTAGGTTTTCGGACCCTTAGGGTTAGGTGTTAGGGTTGAGAGATTTAGGGGTTCAGGGCTAGGGGTTACGACCTCTTCTCAACATAGGGTTTCCCTAGAGGCCTCTTAGGTTTTAGGGGTTTAGAGGGGTTCAGGGCGTCGGATGTCGGTTTCAAGGCCTCTCTTCTCATGCTAAGGTTTAGGAGTCCTTTTCCTGGTTCTACAAAGGTTCTATACTCAAATGGGAAAGGGAGGGACCCTTAATGGGGACCCCTACCCTATAATGGGCTATATAATGGGTATATAATAGCTATATTAAGGGTCTATACCTAGGGGTCCTTATTAAGGGTCCCTCCTTCTACCCTTGGATATACAGGTGCCGCAAGGGTTTCCAGATAATACATACTCTGTCTGGCCTTCAAGTCCCTAGGGACTTTGAGGCCAGAGTATGCATTATCTGGGATTTGGGTACATGGACCCTGAGGGGCGGCATGTACGGAGCAGTTTAGGGTGTACTTTTCGGAAACTCAAAACCCTAAACCCTTTATAGATCCCTTATAGGAACCCTTAAAGGAATGCTTGTAGATCCCTTTAAAGGTAGATTGATCTTAAAAAATGGCCCACAAGGAGCCCTGAAAACCCGCAATCCCTAGGCTACGCGTCGGGAGGCTTGCCTTCATGGTTGATGCTAAACCCAAAGCCCAAACATCAAACCCGAAACCCCATAAACCCCAAACCCCAAACCCTGAATCCTAACCCTAAGGCTCGACATGGCACAAAAGCCTCATATTGTGTGGTCTTTGGGCCCAAAAAGCCTTAATACGTGAGTCCTTAGGGCCTTAGGGAGCCCGAAGCCTGACACCTGCAACATCCTACGCCCCAAACCCCTATCATAACCTTAAAGGACCCCTTTAACGGAACCCTTTAAAGGAACCCTACATTCAACCTTATACTAAACCCTAAACCCTAAACCAAAGCCCTAAACCCGAAACCCCAAGCCAGGCGAGGGAAAGTCCCCCCGGGCATGGTCACATGCTGCCAGGCTGCGAGGC